TATATATATATATATATATGGGTCTAATCAAATGAGAAAAGTTTTGTTTATGGTAACCGTGAGATCCAATCTCAACCACAAATCAAAGGTTAAATTAGGAAATTAATAATTTTAGTAATTTTAACTTAAAATATTAATTAAGGGCATTTAGGGATTTTATAAACATCCTCTCTCATCTCTCATATTTCCTCTCTCCGGCGAACCTTATTCCGATGAACCTTATGTAAACACAAAATACACATTATGATACCTACAAACGACATTCACTGTGATATCCAAATATACATACAAGATGCACAATGTGATATCCTTTGTAAAACAATGAAAATAACAAAAATCCACACGATGATACATTTCATAAAACAAAGAAAAATAGTTTGTGATACATATGAAACATTATGAACGTTATGACTATGATATACTTTGATTCACAAATGTCTTTAAAATACGATGTATATTAGGTTATTTATATACTAGGTAACTAATTTTTAATTAAATATTTTCTTCTAAAAGAATTAATTAAATATTTTGATTAGTTGTCATTTGTCAAACATAAAATTACTATATCACCCTTAAATATCTCAAATGAGTCGTTCACATTGCATCGCACGGTTATCACAAACTAATCAGTTCTTCCTTTAATGGGTCCATACATACATATATAGGTTGAGTTCCGATAAGAATGAAAGTTATGGTAAGAAAATATCTTCACATTTAAATAAATGATTAACACCAATGAGAAGTACCAGATCAATTTATATATCAAATGTAATTCATTGGATGAAGATGAGATTAAAAGTGATAATAGTTCAAGTCCGTTCTTGGTTAATTCTTCGTCTATATATGCATTGTATTATACCCAACGTTTAAAAAAAATATTATGTAATATTAAAATTCAAAAAGTGTTATAAAGTTGTGAAAAAGGCATGGCTTTCGGGAGAGTGACACTGTCTGGAGGGGATCCATGGACCTGATGCTTATGCTTATGCTTTAGGGTTTCGTTTTACGAACCAAAATCCCCTTTTCCTCATCATCACTTAAGCTCCATGGATTCTTCAATTCGGCTTGACATCTTCGAGATTTACAGGCGCTATTGCGGTAAACCTAAATCCAATTTACTTGTTTCTTACTTATGATAATTCTCTTTTGCTGATCAATAACTGCTATACAGCCTCTCACTTTGAAGTTGTTTGAATCCTCTTCCTTTTAATCATCGAGAATTTCTGTTTTGTGGAAGAGAAAGAGAATAATTTAACAAAAAACATGTTCATATTATGTTGAGTTTGAGCTGGAAAGTTGAGTAATAGATGAAGAATGAACTTCAAGGAGTAAATTAGGGTTTGTAGAGAAGGGTGATTCCTTGATCAATGGAGTTGCAGGTTTCTAATTTCCTTTACTTGGCTATTCAAAAAAGCTTCTATTCTAGGTTGAATTAAGTGAAGAGAATGGTTTGGCATAGATCTCCTTTCGTGGAGCTACCATGGTATAGATTGGAGCTTGCTGTTAGTACTTACTGATATGGCGATTTGCTGTCTAGGTTTCTACAATCCTTTTCATGGTCGGGGTTTGCAAGCTTATAGTAGTAAGATATAGTAACGAATTTACTGCTTTATTATGCAACTGTCCTCCAAATATAGTATGTAATCATTTACATGTGTGTGTATATCAGTATATGTTGTACATGTATCATTATGTTTGTAGATATGTATTTGAAAACCAAATCTACATCATCTATTTTTTGACGTTCTCTTGTAGATATCACATTGAATGTGTATGCTTCTGAGGGGGATGGTTACAGGCAAGTCAATGAGTCGATGAAAGCTAAATTAGCCAGGGATGCCTTGTCCAAGCTCCTAGAATTGGTTGAGTTGAGGGTGCATAAAAGGTATCTGCTGCTTACGTTTCCTGTACCCCACTGAAACTCAAAATAGACAAATGTTTAGTTTGGTGTTCACACACAAGAACAATTACCGTGCTTGTGTTTCAATGTAACTACTACTAGTTAGTGTTCTTTTAATCGACATCTTCTTTTTTCCGTTTGTGAACTCATGATGGTGAACTCTCAAATTTACAATGATGATTGGTTCAATATAAGCCATTACTTAACTGTGTACTCATCCATACTCTACTTTCTTTTCTTTTTTTGTGGGGGAGATGAATTTTCATTCCTTATCCTACCCATTCCCATTTCCATCCCCTTACAGCGAACCAAGCGCCTCCTTAAGTTGTGACCTTATCCCAACAGTTGCAAACGTGCATTTGGTATGCGGACCGGATTGAGCAGAGTGTAGGCGGGTGAAAATTTGTGGAAGATTTTAGGGTTTTAATTCGACACGGGTAGTTTAGTAGTTTACGAATCCTGTCTCAATTTTTGCTCCACCTATTTTGGTAGGAAAGAGAAAATGCAGTGTTGTTACATTCAGGTCTTATCCCAATTTATTGTTCCGCCAAACGTGGGACAAGTTTTTTACTGTCCTGTCCGATGTACCAAACGCACAAATGCCTTGATGCACCTGGGTCATCCTTTTATTTGTTAATGTATTGATTGTTCTGATGCACCAGATGGTCTACTGCTACAATATAAATAAACATAACACTGACAAGTTGAAGATTTGATCAGATAGGATGACTTGTGACCTGACCTGCGTTAGTTGTAGCTTGTGGTCAAATTTCTAGAGTGCATGTTCACAATAAGACTATGCTTGCCTGTTCTCTTATTCTCATGTTGTGGTTTCAACTTCTAGAAGCTTAAATATTCGTCTTTGAGGATGTGAGGTCGATTGAAATTGATCCAGATTGATGAACACTGTTTTATCATGCATGGCAGGATGTCAATTCTTGAAGAAATTTCGGTCCTTATGTCAAGGCTTAATCTGATGGTGAGATGGTGATCATTTTCTGGCCTTGTGACCATTGACGTGTGTGAAAGCTCTAGCAATTAGAAGTTGAATACCCATTTATTACATTCTTACTCAGAATAGTCTTGCAGGTAGACTCTCGTGAGTTTTCAAGATTCTATAATTTTGTATTCTTCATTTGCAGAGAAAACGGTCAAAGAAGCATTAGTAAGTAGAATGTCATCCGAAACTTGATAATACTTTGTATCATCCTACTTCTCTTTACTCCTATGACAGTCTTCTATAAACTTAATCTGAGTTACTCGTATCTTCAAATTATTCTCAGCTGTAAGCAGGGCAATTATGGCTTGGAAATTAGTATTGTCTGGAAGATTCAGATTACTCGATCAGTGGTGTAGCTTCGTTGAGGTACTTTTACTCAGTACTGGACTTGTAGATGCTTCTTAGGTGCATCTGTTAAGTAGAAAGAGCAGAGAAATAACAGCTCCTAGTTTATATGAATTTCAGTGAGTATATACACCGACGCATATATATATATATATATATATATATATATGTGTGTGTGTATGCATATACTGGTTATGGTTCTCATTTGAACTTTTTCCAACATCCAATATATATATATATATATATATATATAAATAGTTACTTTGATTATTGGTCAGCTAATGCTTGGAATTTAACATCTAGAACAATCAGCGGCACAATATATCTGAGGATACATGGCGGCAAGTATTGGCGTTTAGTCGTTGTGTGCATGAAAACCTTGAAGGATATGATCCTGAAGGTAATAACACATACACTTGCTATTTTCCACCTAATTGTTAAGCCTGTCATGCAGGTGCAACTTCTTTAGCAAATACTGGCGTCGTTTCTCTCTAATTTGGTGTTTGTATATGGTTTGTGTTAGGCGCTTGGCCTGTTTTGGTTGATGAGTTTGTCGAGCACATGTATAGGTACAACATTTGTTCCTAAAACTCCTTAATTGTCACAGAAAACCTATTTTCATACATTTGCTGTTGAAGTGATTGAGGATTTGATGTTTATTGTATGGTGCAGGATAACTGGATCTGATGATACCCATAATTTGTGTTGCAACTGTGGTGATTCAGAAGCCCAACCGATGTACGACTCTTTAACTGGTAAGTTGTTACTAGAAAGAACAAATTAGAAACTAGAAACATCTCTGGTTCTCTCTTAACTTTTGAGGTAGAGGTCAGGTCTGTGTACATCACACCCATAGACCATGCCTCCGGGTGGGATATACTAGGCTTGTTTGGTTTGGTAAACATCCCAGATCCTCCATGCTCTTTGAGGTAGAGGTCAGGTCTGTGTACGTCCCACCCCAAACCCAGCCTTCGGGTAGAATATACTGGGCTTGTTTGGTTTCATAAGCATCTCTAATCCTCTCTACTCTTTGAGGTAGAGGTCAGGTCTGTGTACATCCCACCTCAAACACCAAACCCCACCTCCATGTGGGATATACAGGGTTTGTTTGGTTTTGTAAAAATCTCTGATCTTCCTACTCTTTAAGGTAGAGGTCAGGTCTGTGTAGACCCCACCTCCTGGTAAGATATACCAAGCTTGTTTGGTTTCATAAAAATCTTTGATCCTCCCTTCTCTTTGAGGTAGAGGTCAGGTCTGTGTTCGAGGTCAGGCTTGCATACATCCCACCCTCATATCCCACCTCCGGGTGGGATTGGTGAAAATCTATGATCCTCTAACATCTCTACTCGTTAAGATATTAGAGGTCAAGTCTGTGTACATTCCCCCTTAGACCCACCTCCAAGTGGAATATATTGGGCTTGTTTAGTTTGGTAAACATCTATGATCCTCTCTACTCTCTAAGGTAGAGGTCGGGTATGTGTACATCCCACCTCCCGGTGGCATATATTGGGCTTGTTTGGTAAACATCTCTGATCCTATCTCATCATACTTGCAGGATTGAAAGTCTTTTCTGGGGTGAAGAGAAAGTTACATGATGACATGGAAGGCCAAGAATTTGAACCATTTGATGCATTTAACAACTCTAATACCATGATGAACTCCAAAAGAAGGCACACAGATTCCGCTAACAAGTTAGTAAATGGATATCAGCAGCAGATTACTCCAACATGTAACAAGCCATTGGGTTGCTCAAAGCCCCCGTGTGCAGTTGAGGGCTGCCTCTCAAAAGGTTTTTCCGAACTTTTCTCAGGTCGGTCGTGTTTACAGTATGATCATGAAAATAGAGTTTCTTACACATAGAAAACAGTTATATTCTTGGTTGAGTTGGCTATACTTCCTGCCCAGATTCATTCTCGATGCCATAATCACCCATTTTTGTCAAGTTCTTGGGTTTAAGATAGGGGTTGTAACATTCGATCATTATCTAATCTTACAATCGTGTATTATGTGATCTATATACATAATAAAGAGGCTCCCCTACATCTTTGTACCAGTCATACCTGTTTTTCTCACTTTTGCACACTTTTCACAAGCCAAAGGTCTTTCACGTTTGAGGTAGAAGTCAGGTTTGTGTACATCTTACCCTCCACATACCCCACCTTCGATGGGGTATACCGGGCTCATTTGGTTTGTTTTGGCTTAAACAACGCTCAACTCTTTGAGGTAGATATCAGGTCTGCATACATCTTGGGGCCGGTTTGTTAGCAGCTTAACAAACTTAATGAGAATCAACTTATTCGGTCAACTATACGTGACTGTTTGATAGTGGCTTAGTGATATAGAAAGTGGTTTGTTCAGTAAGCTTCGAGGGTGGAGCTTTATGCAGAAAACAAAGTTTTTTTCAAACCTGCCCCTCCGAATTAAAAAACATGTACCAAACAAAAACCTTCTCAATCTATATAGACAGATTAATCCACACAGTCAACATTATACATACTGGACTTAATAGAAAACCAACTAATCAGCCCCAAACCCCACCTCCAAGTGGGACATAATGGGCTCGTTTGATCTGCTTTGGTTTGAGCAACTACTCGACTCTTTGAGGTAGAGGTCAATTTACATCTTACCCTCCCCAAAACCACCTTCGGGTGGGACATACTGGGCTGGTTTGGTTTTAATAATTTGAAGCATTGTATCCAGTCAACATATATCATTAGGGTATGATTCATGGATTCATAGGCTTTTTTCTTCCTAAATCTACTCCTTTAGTTTCTATCGGGATTTTCTGATTATTGTAAGCCTTTAGCAGAACCGAACTTACCATTGGTACTTGGCAGCAACGAAAACTTCCTCATAGCGATGGGCAGCATTATCCCAACCGAGGTCTTGCGTCATTCCACGCCGCTGAATCCCCGCCCAACTCTGCTTGTACTCCCGGTAAGTTAACAAACAATTCCCGAGTGCATGGATCAGCTCGCTAGCCTCGGCTTTGTGAAATGTCCATCCTAATCCTGATTCATTGTAAGGGTCAAACGGCTGTACTGTATCTCTCAAACCACCCACAGCATGTACAACAGGTATGGTTCCATAATTCATAGCATAGAGTTGGTTAAGCCCACACGGCTCGAACCTTGATGGCATCAGTAATATGTCCACACCAGCAGTTATCCGATGAGCAGTTTTGACCGAGAAACCAACCCATCCTCGGATTTTGTCATTGTGCTGGCTCTCCATCTGCCTAAGCATCTGTTCGAGGTCCGGTCTCCCGGTCCCTAACATGACGAGTTGCACATCCTGGTCGACCATCCACGGAACACACTCGGCTATCAAGTCGACGCCTTTTTGAACATCAAGTCGTCCGATGAAACCGATTAAGGGAACATCATCGCGAACCGGTAACCCGAGCTCTTTCTGAAGTGCTGCTTTGCATTGTGGCTTCCCGATATCGAGAGTCTCTAGAGAGTAATTAGTGTAACCATCGGATGTCAAGTGAACGTCGAGTTCAGGGTTCCAATGTTTCATATCAATTCCGTTGACGATACCTCTCAGTTTCCAATCGTTTTCGCTAATAATTCCGTGTAGTCCCCACCCGCCCTCAATGGTCTTTAGTTCCCACGCGTATCCATGACTCACGGTAACTACACGATCGGCGGTTTTGAGACCCGCAGCAAAGATGTTGAAGTGCTCACCACCCACAGGATCGTACAATCGAAAAAGATCCAAGTAGTGCGTTGGTAGATCCACATGACCAAAATCAGCCACTGGACCACGACCCTGTAAATCAAAGATGATGTACGAATAAGATGCGTGCACACCTGAACTCTCCCCCAATAGTAAAGTAGTAGTTTTTGTGAAAATGTTTGCTTCCCGAAAAATGTTCAAGTTGCATCAAGTTAACCAACCTGATGAGCTATGTTATGAATCACAAGAACAGATCTTGTGTATCGCATTAATCCGTTGTCACGATAATATGCTTTTAGATAAACCGGTAACAACGCGGTATGCCAATCGTTTGCAATGAAAACCAAATTTCCGTCTCCATAGCAGACTCCGCCACAAGGCACATACCACGGAACCTGTAGGTGAACAAATCCTCATTTTCGTATGAATAGATACATGAATCACAAGACAATAAAACCACTAAAAAATAGAGGCGATTTTTGTCTTCCATCACCATTTAACCATTAAAACTCAAATTTAAGTTTTAGTATGCTACTGTAGCCTCTCAATTTTTCGGCAAAGATGTCAAGTGATGGCACAAAATGAATCATAGTGATAACACCTTAAGGGTCGTAATGTTTTTGCACTGCAACGGAATATACTAGTTGTAACGTGTGCCACCGCATCACCAGTAGATAACCCCTCACTCGAATTTCGAAAGTAGTTCAGAAAGTTTCTAAGTCATACCTCAACGGCTGCTTTGCAAAATAAAACCATGCGTCGAAGAATATCCTACAATAACAAATGCCAGTAGACATCAGAAACTACAAAACAACACGATTATAATCAAATGGTGATTGGCCCAATAGTACATGGCCTCCTAGGAGATCAAAAGGTTCAAACATAATCAAAGATAGGAGTGCGTATGTGATTTTTTTCATATATAAATATTATATATATTTCTGAAAAAAGCAAGCACGATATAGTCAAGATTTGTATAAATGGTCACCTTGTCCGTAATTCTTGTTACTTGTTAGAACTTAAGCGACATGAGTAGAAGTTTACCTCGCGATTTCCTCCATATATATTACTTCCCAAGTTGTTAAACATGTGAGATCCAATAAAAACGAAATCTACACCATCGATATATGTTTGAAAGTACTGCACCTCCACCTCCTGAAATTACAAAAACCCAGTAAATCCACAAAGAGGTAGAGTCTGGAGGTAACATGTACGCAGATTTTGCCTCTACTCTATAGATATATATACAAACTACAAAGATACGTTTATGGTTGCATACCTCCCCATCAACGTTGTATCGTCTCCTAATTCCTGTATCTTGAGGTTCAACATAATCACCATAGAGCGGTACCACTACCTAAATGATTGTCAAAAAGCCGAAAATTAACACTAGTCGATATTCTAGTGCTTATTGCAGGACGCATGGTAATCGGTTTGAAAGTAAACAAGTTACCATTACTCTATGCCCACGTTGAGCCAAAGCCTTTGGTAAAGCGCCAGCAACGTCTCCAAGGCCGCCTATTAATAAAACTTCTTAGAACTATCTCCAAACTCTTTGTACGCAATTAGCATGAAATGGGCAAAACGACCACACGTACATACATGAAACACACAGATATGCCAAGAAATGTGCAACTCAACAAAATCAAACAAGCACAGTATATCCTACCTGAAGGTAGGGCTAAGATAGTGAGATGTATGCATACCTGATCTCTACTACAAAGGGTAGAGTGACTGTTTCCGTGAAAAGCTTCGATTTGTGCAAAATGCGGAAAAAAAAGGATGCATCTTGCTCAAAAATTTGTAGAAGAACATAAGAACACAAAAGGGAACTTGAAAACACGAAAGAGAGTGCTATGATTTGAAAATTGCGTTAGAAACAAATGATACAAACAGAAGCAAGTACAAGAAAAACATAACCAAGGTGGAAGGACCATGTTTGACGCAACATTAGACCAAAATGGACCAATTTTTTTTTCAAGTGGTGACATCATTTGATTGTAAGAAACAAAGATGTGGATGTTTTTTCCAAAATTATTATTGGTCTATTGGTTAGTTCTTTGTTTTTCATATGTGAGGTCCTTTGTTCAAGTCTTTTATTGCAAATAATTTCATAAACATAATACATATGAAATTAAAAACTAAAAAATTTTCAGAAAAAATTAATAAATCTGAAGTTAAAAGCTGAGACCTAAGAAAAATGAAACAAACAAGATTCAAACTCGGGGCTCGGATGGGAGAAAAGTCATGCAAACCAACTCTACCAAGAGAAACTTGTGTTATCATTGTAGTTTCGGAATATGTATGTTATGCTGTTATATTGGTCAGAATACAAAGTATCGGTCAGGACCGATATGACCGATACTTGATATATAGGTTATATCGGCGATATATCGGTCCAAAATAGCGGTTAACATAATATTTCTTAGAATTATATATATAATATGCATTAATTAGAGTTTAGAAATATAGTTTCAAAATTAAAACATCACATCATCTAAARTGTTCAAAAACGAGCTAATCGCAAGCAATAGGTTCGGCATCCGAGAAAAGAAGCCAAACCGTGACTCCATGAGAAGTCTGAAGTTGTGAGAAGTCTGAAGTCGTGATTCGTGAAGTGAACTAGGTGTCTGTGATGTGTGAAGTCGTAACTCGTAAAGATGAAAAGAAAGGAAGAAGACCGTTGGAAGGCAGACTATTAATTTCAGATCTAATAATATATGTTACCAAGCCCAAAAAACTAAGCCCATGAAATAACAAAAGCCCAAATAATTGAACCCTAAAAATCGATATATCGGTCCGATATATACATCACAATATCGCTAAATATCGGGAAAAATCGGAAAATATCGCTAAATATCGGGAAAAATCGGAAAATATCGCCGATAATATCGGGAAAAATCGGAAAATATCGCCGATAATATCAGGGACAATATTTTGACCGATATTTATGCAACGATATTTTGCCTAGGTCCGATATCCGATATATCGACGATATATTGCGATATTAACAGCATAGGGTTGCACAGAACAAAATGATACGATGACACATTTCACGTTACTATAATTTTTTACACTAAGACGGATGAACAAAGTGATGGCACGTATCCAATAGAGTGGGTCTGACCCTATATTAGACTGGGCAAGACAGAACATGAGTGGGACAAAGGTGCATTTTTCTGTCCAACTAAAGTAGTTGGAACAAGAATCAAGGAGATGGACAAGATTGAGAAATTACTAAACTACCTATGTTAAATTAAAATCCTAAAGTTTTCATAATTATTTCCACCCACCTACCTTACTCTCATCTGTCCATTACACTCCAGTCCAGTTTAACACACCATAATATTTTCTGAGAACTATGCATACGAAGACGAAATTCATGTGAATTACCTGTTTTCGACCAGGGAGCACATTCCGCAGCAACCAATATAACATTCATTACATTTGGACCAGCTAATGGAGGAGATTCGACATCATCACTTGCAGGATCATCAGTCTCTTCATCTGGTATTGATTCACTTGTATTCTTGGACTTCTCATATGTACCATTTGATGTAGCTGATTGAAACTTGCTCCAAAATAAGGTTTCTTCACTTTCTTCAGAAAGAATTCCCTCTTCTTCTGAGTTGATTGTGGTGCTTTCAATTATCTGCTAGAAAAAAAAAAGAGCATTATAATACGTTGGTTATGTCCAAAACCAAAATGGGCACATTATATCTGGGTCTCGGAAGGATAAGATGTACGCAGACTGTACTCTGGTACTTTCAGTTATCTCCTAGAAAATAATATGTTATATCCAAAACCAAAATGGGTCTAGTAAATCTCACCCAGAGGTGGGGTCTGAGAGAGATAATATGTATACAAACCCGTCTACCTCAAGAGTAGAGCTGTTGTTCTCATGAAGACTTTTGACTTGTGAAATACGTGCTAAAGAAAGAAATGCATATATGATAAATTTTGAAAAGCTAGTTAAGAGTAAACAATAACATACGAGTTTAAAATCTACAATGAGTTCAAAGATGGTCATTTTTGACAACTATAGGAATGAGTAAATATACATGACAAACAAAAGAACTCTTTATGCTTTACTTTGAAAGGATTTAGGTCCAGTTTGCTTTGTAGGATCTGATAGGATTTGAAGGATCTAAAATTTAATTCTATTTCAATTCCATGTTTGGTTTGAAGGATTGTTTGGATTTGAAATCACGTGAAATCCCACAAGCAAGGGATGTAGAAATTCCATGGAGGTTGTTGGTATTTTGTGGGATTTCGTAGGATTTGTGAGTAATAGCGTTTTAACATATGTTGAAAACGTTTGTTTTATAATAATCAATTAATAAAAAAGGTAATTTAATTATTTTTATAATCATTTATAATTATTTTTATAAATCATTTATAAAAAATGAAATTTAATTCCATTCCAAATCCTACAAACCAAAACACCAAAAATTTCAAATCCTTCCAGAATCCAAATCCATCAAACCAAACGCCCCCATAAGATTTATATCCGACAAAAATGGACTAAACGAATCATGAGGATTTCTCTCAACTTTATGAGAATAAAGCCACTTTTGGCAACCATAAGCTATCTTATTTTTTTGATCTTATTGAAGAATCTCCGTTCAATCAGCCATAGACTAGTTCATATAGCTTATAAGCTAACTTTTTGAAAAGCTACTTCGACTAGCGTTTTCATAAGCTTCATAGATTTTTTTTCAATTATGCCACTTATAGTTTTCCAAATTATTTTTACATTATCATTTAACTTATAAGTTAGTTGTTACTAAACATGACCCGTTTATATTTATCACTTATAGTTAAATGAGCCCAATATCTCTTATATGCAACTAGCTAAGAGTAAATAGAAATGCATCCAAATGCTTGTACAATTTGGCTAAACTACCACTCAAAAACCTTGCATTTTCAACATGTTTGAGCGCACATCGGCTAGACTTATATCATTTCTCTTTAATACATAATGGAACCTCTCTCCTCTTTTTAAAAGGCTATTTTGAGAGTAATCTAACGGTTATTCTTATATGTATAAAAGCCTAGGGTAATACATAGGGGCCGTTTACCTAAATGTTTACCCGGTAAGTGCTTGCCGATAAGATTTAACATTATAATTTATTTTGATACGTAAGATTTTAGTACTTCAAAACATATCGAATGCAACAAGATACTGGATAAGTGCTTACCTGGATAAGAGTCGCCATATTTACTTACCGGGTAAGACTTTTTATTCTTTTCATTTCTCTTGCCTGGTAAGATTCTTGGCTCTTCTCATGTTCATCCGATAAGGAAATTTATCCGGTAAGCACTTATCAAATAAGTGTTTAGTAAACGGCCCCTTACACTAGGACAACTATACCCATCTAAATATATGTTGGAATCCCTTTTCTCTCTTCTAAACATGCTCTTTTGAAAAAGTATGACAGTAGGGTTCACATGTTTAAAAAAATATGCAGCATCAATTGAGGCACAATATACCTGGGGATGTAGGTCTTTATGCATGGCAAAATTCTTCGTACTTCCATTAATTGTAGCTTGAAGTGCATCATTCGAATCACGACCTCCATCCGTACCAGACTTCCTTTCTCCGGTTGCCTTGATCCGCCGTACTCTTCCACCAGCGGCAGCATTACCACCATCACATACAAATATCAAATCAGTAAGCGATTTTCTGGGTCGGAAATTTAAGGACGAGGGGATCCAGTATTGACGGATTGCATTGTGATCGATCACAAATGGTATGGAACCCATGGACGCCATGAAGGTGTTCGATCAAATGCCTCGGAGATTTTAGAGTTGAAAACCTGAAAAGGACCAGGAATACCAGTGGAACCAATTGAAGAGAGTAGGGAATCTGAAGAAGGGATAGAAAACCAATCGATTTTTTTGGAATTTAAATGACGGGGAAGCCATGGACAGAGGATCACCGTGTCTCCCATTGGATAAAGTGGGTCCGACTGAAATTTGGAATTTACAGAACAAAATTCGCGTTGATTTTGAGAGTTTAAAACCAAAATCTGATCAAATGGGTAGTTGTGGTGGTGGTGAGAGAAGGCTGGGCCACTGCTCGGGTGTGAAGAAGGTGGCCGGTGGCCGCCGGCCGTTTCGTCCACGTTTAAAAGGAGCAGATTATAGCAGAAAATGTAGATTTTTTAATAAATTGTTGCTCTGATAGATTCTTTAATCCAAAGTGTAATTTATATTTGCAAAATAATTGTTTATTTATATATTTATTAATCAGTTATATTTTATTTAAGGGATGTTTGGGATTGCTTATTTAAAACAACTTATGTTTTTTTGTAAAAATGTTTATTAATTTACTAGAAGCGTACTCGCGCAATGCAGCGAGATACATCGTGTTTTTAATATTTCATTTTATTATTTATTTCAGTCGATGTTATAATATGACTTTATGTGATTTTGAGAAAGCGATGATGTTTTTATTTTTGAATAAAATATATGTTTGACGATATCATAAAAATT